GAACTCATAGGACCAATACTAAGCACAGCAACAGAGGGCATTCTTGCTCCATTTGAAAGCTCGATACATTCAGTCCTCAAGGGTGCTGGTGCTGAAGAATGACTTCTATAGTGTGCTAGCTGCGACACGCCCCATAATACGAATTTCGGCCCGTCTATAAATCAGTTGTCAATCAAATCAATCAAATTTTTATTCTACAATCTGACTCCAGTTTATGGCAAAAGAGGGAAGGATCAGCATGGAGCTGATCCAGAATTTAACCCACGAAGTGTTCGAAATGGTACGCGAGCCACTCGCACCAGCGTCCTGCCAGCTACTATAGAAGAGGCTACTGTCGAAAATCTTTAGATACTTTTCCCTCGTCGAGTTTACTTCTAGCCATGAAATCACCAGATAATCGTGGAATAAATTCGAGCACTGCGAACGTGTATATTCGAAATCCCTGAGATCGGGTAGGCGTGGCCGCATGCTTCAACTTAACCTGAAGGTGTCTATGCTTCTGGTGAGATATTTTCATCTTGTTGTCGTGTCTCTGTCCAACACAGAACAAGATGACAGTTGTCCCAGACTGGAATATTCCACGAGTAACCAGTTCCGTGCCATGTTCAAATGCCACGCCTACTCTGGCTCAGGGATAAGGAGTTACTTCTTCACAAACCGCATATTCGAAACAGATTGTCGAAAAACCCCTCTTCAGAATGTCATTGGCTCGTGCTTATCTCGGAATGCAATGCTTCTGGGGAGAGTCAGCATTTGCCAAGGTAGGACCTTTCTTCTAACAGGAAATCTTGCCGGATGAAGTGCTTTTCAGCTAAAAGGTGTGAAAAAGACGCGGGTAGGCTATGCTGGAGGTACGACCGCCAATCCATCTTACTGGAACATCGGAGACCATACAGGTTTGTTGGCGGATCGGCCACTTTAGGAATGATGTCAAATCATGGAAAAATTTTTTCAGAGGTGATAGAAGTAACATTTGACCCGTCCTTGATCTCCTACCGACAGTTGCTTGACTTTTTCTGGGCTCATCATAATCCAGCTAAAAGACGGAAGAAGCAATATCGGTCAGCTATCCTTTACGAGACTGAGGAAGAGAAGATGGTCGCCGAGTTGACATATGCTCAGGCTAAGGTGTGCTCAAGTTGAAAGCTACTGGTATTCTGAGCCAAGCGTTTTCGATGGGTTCAGGAAAAGCACGGGGACATAGAGACGTATGTGGCCAATTGGAAAAGTTCCACCAAGCTGAGGACTATCACCAGAAATTCTGGCTCCGAAATAATCGTGATATATTCGACGAAGTAAGCGTTAGGCCTGGTACTCAGCACTCCCTTGCTTGGTACTACTCTGGGCACCTCCTTGAAATACATATTTTGCCATACTGCCGATTTTAGCTTAGATGAATGATGCCAGCGTTGCGAACTCTGACTGGCAACGCAAGGTAACTAAAGTTTAATGTTTCGAGAAAGGCAATTACTCCTGGTATTGAAAAGACGAGTGGGACAACCCGTATCCACGATCAAAATTCTTGACCATAGCGCGATAGTCGTGTGAGTGGAGCCTTGCCGACCAACGTGCCTTTTCCATTGATGCAGCTCCTCTTAAGACAGCCCCCGCGCTCGAGTAGTACATGGTCGTCCTTCCTTGTGCAAGTAGTAGTACAGCCCCCAAGCTAGAGACTGTCCCACTCTATTCGTCTGCACAGCGAGCGAGAAGCGAGCTACAGCCGCTGTAAGTTCTAGTTCTAACGCCTGCTCACATCAGTTGGACCGCCTTACTTGCTAGATGTCCTCCGACGGAGGCCACTCAGTTGTTCTTAGTCGGGGCGGCGGGCATTGCTAATGCCCATGGATAATTCTGCTGTCCTTTATTACAGTTTACTCATTGGAGGTATATACATTCAATTCAACTCATTTCGCGAGGTGAAACGCTTAAAAAGCACGAGTGACGCAATTTTCGTGATGCAAAACCTCGACGCACAAAACGTGCGCTACCGTAATCCCAAATTCAGACACCGCGTTGATAAAATTCCTTTTTCCTTCCAAGAGTTTTTTGTTGTTTTCTTTTTGTATTCTTTTTTTTGCACTGGATGATATCAACTACTGCGAGATGTGATAGAGAGATTTGTGAGCTAGGGGTTGCACAGAGACCGCAGGGAGGTGTGACTGTGAGGGAGCGATTTTGTTTATGTTGTTCTGGAGGACGCTTCTTGCCTGTTTTCTTCTTTGGGAGATTACTTATCAGCTACTGTTTCATAATTGGAAAGCAGCTATCCATGAGACTTTTATCGCGGGAGCTGTCTTTAATCGTCTCTCAGGGTAAGGCGCGACAAACAGAATGCCCCACAGGCGGGGCCACGCCCACATGATCAGCATAGACTCTATCTCTTTGTGGCCTTCCAGTTGGTTTTTCAGTTGAACGCCTATTGCGCTGGATATAAAGAATTTTCCGAGTTGGAAGAATTGAGGAAACAAAATGGGCTCAGTGACGCTTTAGTAGAACGAGTGAAGCAGTACGCCTTATCTGGCGGTGATCCGAGTGCTTGTCACTAAAGTACTGTTGAAAATTACGTTTTCATACAAGGAATACTGCCGCCATCGATGCCTTATGGAGGCGTTCCTGCTTACATACAATACTGCTCCCCAAATGATAGGACGCGTAAGGGGGGATGGGATTAGCTCGCGCCAGCCCGCTTGCTATTTTTAACATTCGTATCAGTCGTTTTCCACCATTTTGTTGCCCTCATCCACCAACTACTGGAGGAAAACCGCAAGGGGCAGGAGCAGCGCCAAACTCAGCCTTCTTACACTCCCCAGCCTCCGTCGCAAATGAGACCCTCCGCCTGAGTGTGGCGTCATCTCGCTTCCACCAGTGGTTAACGCAGTGGAACAGGCAGCCATTGCTGAAAGTGGGCTGGCGCGGCGCCAAAATAATTGTGCTCAGGGTTCCTGCGCTCGACACTCCTATAAGCTCTGCAGTCCATATCGAACAACTGGAAGGGGCGTCACCATTTTTCCCGCGTCGTTTCTTCTTTCTCATACGTATGCCTCTGCTTCTGTTGGACCGCTGAGCCACTCCAAAGCTCGATTCCTTATGTGCCATTGCAGCAGAACTCATTTGGAAACCTTGGTGTGCCTCCAGGGTGCATCTTCTTGTTAATGAGTCCTTCTCTTGGCACGAGTTCTTCTCTTCTGTGTGGGCGCCATGCATTTACCTCCTATGCTGGAGCTGGGCTAAAAGTGTGACTTTCTCGTAAGCTTATCCTGCAAGCAGAATGTGACCTAAAGGTCCCGAACCTTATTCGGTACTGACGCGTGACAGGGAAGGGAGGTACGTGCTGTTTAAAGTTGTCATTTGGTTCGCTCAAACGCCTGGTAGAGGGCAGCCATTCCTAACCAGGCCCGGACACGCCCAGCATCCGTTAGCGACTATAAATTCATTATCGTTCGTTTGCTTACTCTTCAGTACTGATGCACCCCTGCCCTAGCGATTCTTCCTCTTCCAACGGCCACATACGACCCCCTATGGAATTCTTCCAGGATGCCGCACCCTGATGTGAGTCCACATCATCA